TAAGTAGTGATTTGTTTTAAATATGAACATTAGAATCCCAAATATTCGTTTAATTGAAAATGCCATCATACAGTATAATGCCAATTCAAATGTAGGTTAACATGTTTTAAAGAATTGTTACTTTTTTGTAGTGTTTATACTGTATAAAACTGTAGTCTATGATATTATGTTACATGCACAGGGTATTTCCATGATCCAGTACAGTAAATCACATTGAAGGCATGGTGACACAGCAAAGAGAAATCAGAGATGTACAGTGCTCCTGCCACAGCAGGATAAAATATTGTTTTCTTGTATTGCAATTTGTGCTAAAAGCTACCCAGGGGATCACCTCAAATTAAATGCAGGGCAGTAGGGTCTCCAGTTACAATGCACCCTGCAGAAGCTCAGGGTTTCAGCTTCAGAGCTAAAGGCCTCAGGCGCTTGGACAGGGCTGTGGTCATCTGGAAATGGCCTTGGGATTTTATTTCACTTCCAAAACACAATGGTTCAAGATCCAACATGTTTAGAAGCTGGGAACACACAATTTACATAAGATTATGATGCCAATAAAGGGTTTGATTGGGTCACTGAGGGCTCTGCTGGAGCAAAAACCAGCAGGCGTGAGTGGGTCACCAGGACTAGGACTGGGGACCACTGTTACAAAGTGTCCATCGGTTCACTGAAATCCTCGCTGGGGGCTCTGTCCCACCTCTTGATTCTGGGATGGTTTGTGGACAGCCTCCAGATTCTTACCCCAGGACTCTTGAGTTTATCCTGGATCTCCAGCCTGTAGGGGCTCACCCTGGACTGGGACACTACAGCCTGGAAGTTACAGCCAGAGACTCATTGTTTGCTCTGCAACAGATGAAAAATGTAACAGGTATATTAATCATTAAAGCAAGACATAAAACTAAGTGAAACAGAGGTCAACTTCCTTGCTCGATTAGTGATTCTGGCCCCGTTTGCGTTCAGCTGTGTTAGGAATTTCAATGGTGGCCTTTTGAGATTGTAAGATGATGTCTTCATTGGTAGTATGAGACCGGGCTGCATATTAAAGAACCTGACATGAATATTTCTGTGCGGCACAGAAATATAGATGTCAGATGTTAATTTTAAGTAGCACCTTTCATGCAATAAATCCCCCAGGCAAGTGGTACAGCAAGTAAACATAAAAAAAACACCGATGTGAAACACTATTGTTTTAAATATTACTAATTTAATTGGCAGACACTATTATTCAAGGCTCCGTACAGTGAAATTGGATTCATTAGCAAATTATGAACTCATTATGAACTAAAAACATGTTGCCAAGTGTAATCTGAAGTGGAGCGGCCTAATTAATCACAGGATAAGTCAGATGCTGTCCAAGGGCAGTGCCGAAGATGAAGGGTAACTGTACGATAGGCAAGCACACTTCCCAGAAGGCAGAGATGAGCAAGGTCCTGTGATCTGATCTGTAGTGTCGGAGGGCAGCGCTGGTGATATCAGCTGCCAGGCACGCAATGTCACATCACGGAGCCCAAATTGAAGTACTAGAAAGTGCAGCTTCAAAACTGAAAAGGGAGGAAGGCGAAGTCAGGGGGGTCGTGTTGCGTCGTGGCAGAAGGGTTGTCATCACAGTAAAGGATGCTGGGAGCCTAGTGGCTGAGCAGCAGAACATCGGCCGAGTCCCACTTCAAGCCCTGGCCCAGCCGGCCAGCCCGAGCTGCTGCAGAACCCCCTTCAGCTCGGGATGCACACTGGAGCTCCAGTAGTCATTGCGCAGTTCGCCCCAGCAGTCTCTGTAATTCCCATTCCCTGAAACATCCAGCTTATCGCAGGAGCGGGGCGATGCGGAAAGCGTATTGTTGCCAGCACCCCAGGAAACGCCGAGGCCGAGTTGCCAGGTGACGCGTTGCTTGGGCACTGGAGTGGTTTGCCGTCACTAATCCCTCTCCTGGAAGCACATGAGACTGATGAGGCAACACAGCTTGACTTCAGCGCAGGGGTTCTGCAAAGGGTTCAGCTGGAGGGAATGCTGGGAGAAGCAGAGAGGGCAGAACTGACCAGAGTCCTGACTAGATGAAGCACAGGGGTTGGGGTTGGGGAGTTAGAAGGCTAGGTAAGGGGGTAGCTGCAAACCGTAGGCTCGCTGGTGGGGAGGGGGGGGGTGTCGTGGACTCATGGAGGAGGTGAACCCCCAAATCCTTCCTCGGATCCTCACTGCTGCTGTGGGATTATTCATTCAGAGTCGTGTCTCGGAGCTCCCAGCCCGCTCGGGATGATCCACTCTCCTTTTGTCTGTGGGCGTGGATCCTCTCCTTGTTGCTCTAGTGAATTTAGTGTCCCCCGAACCTAACCCCCCCCCACCTCCTGCGTTTATCCCTAAGTCAGTAATCTCCTGGTCTCTCGACGCCATCTGGCACAAACGGCCCACAGGAAAAAAAAAAATGCCAGGAGGGCCTTTGATGATCTGGGGAAGAGAGTCGGAGAGAGGGGATGTGTTCCCGGAATGTAATTGAGTGGAAGGAAGGAAAGCTTTTTGTGACATGTTTTCTGCTGACCCACACTGATGAGACGCAGAAAGAAAAGTGCCCCTGGAGAACATGCTGGATGAGATACATAGATAACACCACTCCTGAAAAAAATAGAACCTCTGGACAAAGCAAATGTGTTTAAATGCATTAGGAAAATATATCTGAAATATATTATTTTCTGTTTAATTATATTTCAGGGACGTGTTGACATCCTGTGGGAAGAGTGTGGTTTAGTTTTCTATTTATTTTTCTGATGCAACAGTGAATCAGAACACATCGCTGTTAGTTTTAAAATGACTATTTCAAAGTACTGTTCGGGAACGCGAGGCGGTCAGTGTCGCCGTGGCATAGCCGCGGGGTCCTGGGTTCGACTCCAGAATGGGGTGCGTGCTTGGTCCTGTGTTCTAGCCCCGCTGTTCCCGAGTGTGTGGGAGTCCTGCAGTGGACTGGTGTCCCGTCTTGGGTGTAGTAGCGCCCTGTGCTTCCAGGACAGGCTCCAAGTCTCCAGAGAGATTAATGGGACAGGACAGGCTCCAGAGATTAATGGGATTTGGGAACCAGGTTGGAATCCTCCATTGCTGAACGTAGCCCAATGGCTTCCTTGCAGCCCTGATACAAGCCAAATTGATGTGTACTGGTTTGGTGCGAGTCAGAGAAAAGTAGGGATCCAAATGCATATATCTGCTTGAGGAGCTCCGCTTAGAAGTCACCTACACTGAAAAGATGGCTTAAAAAAGCAAAGAATTAAAGTTTTGGTTATCGGATGCTCCCGGAAATGAAACGTTGAGAAATGTGTTGGATCTCGTCAGAAAAGCAATAGTGTGATGCAGCTGTGACGGGCGAACGGTAAAAGTTGATATTTTTATCAAACTAAGGCACGTTCGCGGACAGTACTGTACAGCTCATGTTCACGAGGTACAGCTGTGAGGAAAATGGTGAAGTTGTGCTTAGTTTTTAGAGCCCGGGAGATTAAAATCACCAGTTGCGTTTCTGAGAACCCCCTCTGTGCACGCGCCGCTTAAAAGCAAGGCACTGCAGTTCAAGACTAAGCAGCAGCTGATGCAGTCCTGGGTCTGTTAATATCTGCAGTGCCAGTACCTCTAAACAGCTTTTTTTAATCCTCCGAATAGGTGTTAAACAGTATAGTCAGGCTGCACTGGGACTTGACTACCGCCCCACTCCCTCTCCTCACCCCCCCCCTCTCTGGCCCAGAGTTTCAGGGTGACAGCCAGGTAGACCGTAGAAGCATGTAGCAGTGTGGTCGGTCTCTGCCGGATTAACTATACCAGACAGAGGACAAGGAGGGGTGAGATTTCTTGCTAGAGAGTGCCAATATAAATATGAGTCTGTTTATGTACATGACAGAGCCTAGGAGAGAGAGGTGGTTGCCAGGGACAACTGTGTGCGACTGCACACTCTCCCTCCCACTCTCTCTTGCTTTTCCTCTGGCTCCTTCCTCGGTCTTCTCCCGGCTCGGCCTCCCTCTGCCTTCCTCTCCCTTAAAGCCCAGGCGCGGGGCTACGCTCCATCGATCCTCGGCCCGCGCCCGATCGAAACATCATTTTCATCTTCTGTTGCCAGGCCCCCGCGCTCACGCCTCTGTCTCCATCTGCTCGTCTCCTCTCTGCTCTCGTCCCGGGGGTCGACTTACCGGCCAGACGCAGACGGAAGGCCAGTCTCCCGGGGCCCTAAATCCTGACCCGTACTTTGGGTTCACCCCATGATTACAAAAACATGAGAGAAGGGGATCCTTCTTCCTCCCCTGGAATATGGCAAAGGAGCGAGGTACCACTGACCCCTGACCCCCCCCCCACAGGCACTTGGAAAATGGGTAAAGGTGTCTTCTGCTCCATCCCACTTTGTCACTTGGAGAGAGTTCAGGTCTCGAAATAATCCTCATACCTAGACAGCGCTTTTCTATCCACACTCTTGTCTTCATGCAGGAACTTCTTGGTCTGGAATGACCCCCAGAGTCCTCTGGAGTTGGGAGAGTGGTTACTGTGCCCTCCCCAGGGGAAATATCGCCACAAATCGGATTTCGCGGCTCACAAGCGTGCCCTACAAGCTAAAGAGCTCAGCTGTGAGCCAGGGCGGGTCAGGCCTCGCAGGCCGGGTGTCGAGGGCGGTGGTCTGGGCGGCGGAGCGTGGTGGTTGCGGGGGGCGCGTGTGGCGGGGTTGGCGTCTCTCTGCGGGAAGGAGCGCCAGGCGGAATCGGCAGCTTCTGGCTCTGCGTTGAGACTTCGGGGCCGAACCCCCCGATTCCGTCTGTGCCGCCAGCCGCGCGGAGCGACACGAAAATGTTGGCGCCAAAATCCGTGCCGTCGTGGAGAGGGAGCCGCGCGCGTTGTCAGCAGTGAGCCGCGGTAATTAATAAGTGGAACAGGAAAGAACCCTGGATTTGGGTAAAAAACTCTTTGTACAAGTGCAAACAAAGTTGCGTTTACGGATTTTGAACTTGTCTCAATCTTTTTTTTTTACTTCCTTTTTCCTTATTTTCTTCAGGATCTGTTCCACGCGACTGGCTGACATAAGGGATTCCTCCATTTGGGGAAGAAACGCACCCCGATGCAACTGGATCACATAAGGGTTATGCACAGCGGAGCCCAGATTCCCGACCGGAGCCTTTCGGAATCCGCAGATCGGATCTGGGAATAACCGTTGAGAGGAGGAGGAGTGCTGAAGCCAGGATTTAAAAAACAAACAAACTCTGGTTTGGAAATCTAACCGGGGAGAAGAGGAGACTGAGAAACAACCGAGACGGATTTCATGAAGGAAATCCAAGTGAGATTCCACTGAGACCCTTGGAGGGATCGTTTTCGAAGCACCTCAGGTAAGACAATCTGCTGTACTAACATTTACATCGGGGTCTGCAGTGCGTCTACAGGAGTTTGCCGTCACCATTGGCTTGCACCACAAACATACAGTAGCGCACGTCGACTGCTCACACACGCCGTACTCCCCAGTCTTTCCTGCGTCCTCCCCGAATCGGCGCATCATCTCCGCAACTTTCAGAGAGGGTGGGAGGAGTTGGTTGGGGCACATGGGGTTTTCATGCACGAGGAGGCGTCCGGGCAATACGTGCGAAAGGCTGTCTGGCAGGTTGGCCGGGCTGCTGGTGCGCGTGAATCGCGCTTGGTGAGCCGCTGATCTTCACGCGTTTGACACGATTGGAGATCAGGTCCCGGTGGCGCGGAGATCCGGGAATAAGTGGAGACGCCCGTCTTGCCATAGCCTCTCGGCCCCCTGCATCCTGACAGCCCCGGCCTGCTGTTCCTCAGTGGAAAGCTTGCAAAGGGGACGGAACTGCACGCGCTTGGTCCGGAACCGCTCCAGAGACCCGTTTGCCACGGATGGCCATGGCAGCAGAGTTTTCGGGGCGCAGCAAAGCCCGGAGCTAGAGATGAGAGGCTTTGGGCACCCGAAGTGGGCCAGCCCAGTTGTGGGACGTCCCATAATGGGACACAGTTTGGCTTAGGGTTGCAGCCAAGGAGCAACCACATTTAGCGTGGACGTTGTTACAGTCGTTTTCGACTTCTCCTCTGTTTTGCTCTGGGTTCTGGGGGGTTTCACCACCCTCCTCTCACGGTTCGCCCCGCCTCCCTGGCTGGTCACGGCTCGGGTGGCCCAGGAGTCCATGACTGATGGCGGTCAGCCCTTGCAGTGGGGTTTCGTCACTACGCTCATGGGCACTGACCCATGTAGGCCATGGTTTCTCAGTCCGGTGTAGTCAAATCCGACAGCGGTAAAGTACCGCCGAGGACCGGCGCGGAGGAAAAGTCAACTGGTTTGAAAAACGGAGAAGAACAGAGACACCGCAGTGGAGGTGGGATGTGTCACCCCAAATGTCACCATGCTTAAAGCTTCAGGCGTGAAATTAACCTCAATGGCTGGATGTTCACGTCACAGTCGTTCTAGGTGTCCCGCTGTCTCGGAGCCAGATTGCACATTATCACCTGAGATTGCCAGGTATCATTACCAGCGGCAAAGCATTCCCTGTTTACTGCTATCCGGGATGATTCCGGGGACCTTGGGGAATGCCGGAGACAAATAGCTCGGCAGACTCCGAGGGAAAGAGAACAAGACGCCGCCGCGTGCCAGCTCTCCGCCTAATGACTGCTTCACGGTGGGCACTTTATAATGCTGTACCCCTCGCTGCTACTGGAGTTACTGTGTGCCTCGCTTCTTGCTGTCTCTGTGAGGAGGAGAGACGTTTGCTCCTTAGTGGAAAAATCTCCGTTCGCCTCTTTCTCCCTGCTCCGCGTGTCCATTGCCGCTGATCCTACAGGTCCCGCTTATGATGTGCGGCGTTACCGCTAGGAAGAGGGGAGTCCCAACCCGGCAGAGATGCATGGTTGAGTGGACAGAAGGACAGACCGATCAGTCTCCCCCCAGTGGTTGTATTGTTCCTGCTCTGCGGATAAGTAGTTCTGCACGTGTAGAAAGACAGAGGCCTGGATTCTTGTCTCTGTGACACCTGCGCACAGGCCAGGGTCATGCGCCTGCCCGGATTAACTTGCAGGGTTCCTGCTTTGGCACAGCTTGATGGAGAAGTGTCCTGTAACCTGCTGCTGTGTGTTCCACTGGACTGCCCTGTTTCCTTGGAACTCTGCCCCCCCCCCCCTCCCTGCCCTGCTGTCTGTGGTACTGTGGTGTTATGCAGAGCAGACGTGAATCCCAGGATCGTTCTGTAATGAGGGTTTAAAGTTCTCTTAAGAGGATTACAGCACTGGGGAGGGGTGATGGAAGTGTGTGTGTAGGGGGTGGACTGTGGAACTAAGCCATTGCATTTCAGAATCACAGCACTGTGGTGACTGGGTGCGTCAATACATTGCAGTGGATTATACAGTCCACGCATACAGCAGGAAATAAAATGAAGCCCCAGTATTTTATTTCACTGCAATGTGGCATTTTATATGAAACACACTTTGTGCAAAACTGACAACATTACAGACAGAAGAAGGGGTACTTCAGCTTTGGCTGTTTTTAGAGGTTTCGCTGGTTTCTGAGGCTTGTGGAAGGCTTGAGGGCAGGCTGTTGTGCTTCCTTAGAGGTGCTGACTGCGATTCCTCTGCCCGCCGCCCAACAGCGCCCCCAGGTGGCAGGCCAGGGGCTACCCATGAGACGTCCGTATAGTCAGTGAGGGCCGCCTCGGTCAGGGAGGTGGCCTGATGGCACCATATTTGTGTGCAAGTGTGTAGGCATGTTCCTGCACTGATATCGGGATTGCGATGGCGAGTTGAGATGGTTCTCTTGGATATTCATCTTGAATAGTCCAGTGTTGGGGGAGATATGAAAGAGCGGCGTTGGACACTTTTTAAGGATTAGTTAAACTACTGGAATCTTGGCTGGATGAAAGCCTTGGAGTGGAACACAGGGCATGAAATGCAATGGAATGGGATGGGATGGGCTGTAACGATAAGGAGGGGATGGGACTGTGTCATGTTGTCTCCAGCTCCCCTGCGACCCTAAATTCGATGAAGCGATTAGAAAATGGATGGATAGATGGATGTCCTCCTGTGTGGATCTAAGGATTGTGACTATGAGCTGGGTTGGCTCTCCTAAAATGAAATGAAAGGCTTGGAATGAGGAGTTTGGACTGGATGGGATAGGAGGGGATGCGCTGGACTGAAAGGAACGCAGAGAGATGGGGCGGATTGGGATCAAGTGACCGGGGATTGGATGGAATGGGAATGGACTGGAACAACATGAAAGGGGATTGAGAGGGACGGTGCTGGGATATCTTGCTGCTGCGATATGCATGAAGGGGTTTGGATGGATTTGTTTCTGTGGGATTTAGAGAGAAACAAAAGCAAACCTGGATCAATTCTTACTGAACTTCTAGGGGGGATACATGGTTAATTCAAGCTCTGGAACTATTTAATCCTGATGAAATTTGACCTTAGGAAAACTGCCCTGTTTTGCACAGTTACAGTATACCATGTTTTACACTGAAATTTCCATGTAAATGTAGGTTATTCCTTACCATCCTTAGTATTGCTGTTCTCATGCTTTATATGTCTGCTTGCAGTTACGCAGTCGATGAGTGCTGGAAATAAAATTTAGAAGAAGCAGTGGTAAAAGTGTAAGTTTAAGTGCAGGTGATTTCCCATCGTGCATTTATATATAGTGGTAGTTTTCTCCTCTTTCTTGATCGCTCTCCACCCTTTTCTCTCAATCTTTCCTTCACATGATCTCTCTCTCTCCTTTCCACCCCCACTCCTTTCTTTCTCCTCTCCCTCTCAACTTCCTATCTCTCCTAAGTTCCTCTTTCTGTCTCTTTTTCCATCGGCTTTCATCATTTCTCTCTCCCTCTCCCCCTGTCCCTTTCTCCCTCTCTCCTGCCCAGCCACCCTCTCCTCCTGTCAGTCTCCAACAACCCCCTCCTCCCTCGGTCTCTGACTCGGGTCATAGGAAATTATTTTTACATGAGCGGAGCGGTGGCTCTGTGGCTCAGGATCTGTGCCTGTGGCTGGAAGGTTGCCAGTTCAAATCCAAGCAGGCCGGCAGAGGAATCCTACTCCCTTGGGCCCCTGAGCAAGACCCTTCACCCCAACAGTACAATGACCGACCCTGCGCTCTGACCCCCAGCTTCTCTCTCTGCCTGGGTGTCTCATGGAGAGCAAGCTGGGGTCTGCGAAAAGACAAATTCCTAATGCAAGAAATTGTACAGGGCCAATAAAGTGATCTTCTCTTCTTACAAAGCTAACCTGCTTAGTCATTATTTTGTTGCTAGGCAACAGGACCGCCCCCCCCCCTCCCGTTTCACTTTAATTAGTAGGGGTCTAATGTAACCTTCCAGTGTTGAACGCCAACGCAGTGCTGTGCCCCCAGACAACTAGAAAGGTCCAATACCTACCCTGTCAGCCCCAGAAACATAAATATTATTGCTTGTGTTTCTGCGTTTGTTTGCAGGGCTCACTTTCTGCAGAGCAAGTTGCGGATGGATTTATTTCTGCCTCCGACGTCCACAGGTCTCTGGGAGCACATCCTGACAAGCCAGTGGGGGGAGGAGTCACTGAGCTCCTCGTACTGTAGTATAGTGCTGGGGGAAGTTACTGTTAATCCGTTACAGTTACAGGTTATGTGGGTAAAGGGTTATTTTATAAAAAGTGAGCTACATTTCAAATGGAATGAGTAATCCCTTACAGTTACTAGGATTACTTTTAAAAAGTAATCTATTGCAGTTACAGGTAAATGATTATTTTATAAAGCGAGCTACATTTGAAAAGTAATGACTAATTTCAAGGATTACGTTTAAAACGTAACCCATTACATTTGAAAGCTACCCGTGCAAAGGATTTCTCTTGAAGAGTAATCCAGTACAATGACCAGGATTACCTGTAAACGGTAATCTGTGGGTGTCTCAAGCTCCGTGTGTAATGATGACCCAGCCATCGGGAAGGGCGCGAGGATTGGGAGGCGGGTACTGGCACGCAGGCGCAGGCTGGGGCCCAGCGAGCTGCAGCAGTGGTGGAGAGGAAAGGGCAGGTGGAGAGAGAGCCTTTCCAGTGACTAGCGAGCAGGAAGGGCTGCTCGTTTCAGTTTGTGGCAGCTCTCTCTCTTGCCCGGGGTGAGACCAGGGGTTTGCGACAACAACGGTGACCCTACGGTGCTTTCGCAAAGTCCAAAATCTGGGGATTGATTTCAATTCATTTATTTTTTGTTATCGAGATCCAATGACCGGTCTGAGAAATATTGGAACTGCAGCTCCGCTTTAAGCAGCACAATTAAGACCGCCCCTCTTGAGCCGGTCCATACACATCGAGGACTGAAGCGATGCAGGAGACAGTCGGCAACCCGACTAGAAATACAGTGGGGCGATTTCCCACA